CCGGGTTGGCGTGGCGCTGCGAGTTAATGCAGAACTTGCGTTCTCTTTCTGTAGCTGCCTTCGTGTCCTTACTGTCTGAATCTGCTGTGAGTTAAGGCTAAAGTTTGAACTAAGGGATTCCGCCGCGGGTAACTGCGCTGCTGCGGTGATGGGTGATTGGCTGGCCTGCACCACTCGCTCCTTCTAACAGCTCCTCTAAAATCGGCCTTCCTGCACTTTGAAGTTGAGACGCTGACTCACTCTTTACCGCCTCTGAGTCAGGCACCTGGAAGCTGCGCTGGTTTTTCTGCCGATGCCTTAAAAAGTGAAGATTAGAAGGTTTCTCATCACATTTGGTTAGACTTGTACGGGCGTCTCTCACCTTGTAGGGTACAAATAACTAACACCAGTTCCTGTCACTGAAACTCGAAGGAAATACTGCAGCAAGGGCTTTCCCACCTCTGTTTTGTTTACAGTCGATTGCTAACCCAGCTCCTTTCTGGGCAAAGAGCGTTAAGCAGGTCCATGCCTTGTGTTGCCTCCACAGCCCTCTGGATGTGGAACAGTGTTCCCTGCAAGTGCTGGAGCCCGAGGGCAGTCCCAGCTGGAGTCTCCTGAAGCTGCTGGCGGAGCGTGGGTGCACCGTGCCGGAGCTGGTGGAGTCCCTGCAGGCCCTGCAGCACACCGAGGCTCTCCGGTGCCTGGGCCAGGCAGGTCAGTGCTGAGCCCTGGAAACACTCAGGGAGCTAAAAACATCTTTGGGGCTCGAATCCTGATCATTGCTATCCATGTTTACCAAGGTAAATTACTGGCTCATCTGAGATTAAAGGTAAACCAATGTGACAGCGGGAAAAGAAGCCACAGCTTCACATTTTCCAAGGAGAATCCAAGAGTTATTTGTGCACCTTTGTAATCAATCAGCAGATTGAGCTGAACGGGTTTCCTTCTTGAACTGTTGAATTCTGCAAGGTGGAGCCCCGAACGAAGTGCAGGAAAATAAATGAAGAAAAAAAAAAAGGGAGGAAATTACGAATCAGATTTCTCAGAACTCGTTCGTCACGCTTCTTCCAGCGAACTTGTTCTTTCTGCTCCGCTTCCTTAAGAGGTGCTGGTGAAAACCCCGGCCCCGTGCCCTGCAGGAGTCAGAGGCACAAAGGGATAGCAGGAAAATGCAGGGTTGTGCTTCAGCTCTTACTGCTTTGATCCGTCCCTCGGGCTGGGCCCGCCTTGATCCGAATGACTCGCAGAAATCCTTGGGAGGGAGCAAACTCTTAAAAAGCAAACAAATTCTTTTCAGCAGTATTTAAAGGCAGAAATTCTCTTTGCTCAGGGGGCAGTTTAAGTGCCAAGGTGAGAGTTGTTCTTGACTTTCCCCTGTGTAAATTGTGTTTGGAAGGTGTGAGGATTGTCGTGCAGCCGGACTCACAAGCGGTGCTCTCCGGCCAGGTGGTCAAGCTGTGCTGTTGGGCAGCAGGACACCCCTTCGTGCGCTACCAGTGGTTCAAGCAGGAAAAGGAGGTGAGAGCGGAGGGACAACGCGGGTTTTTGCGAGTGAAAAATAACAGGTAACGATTTGGGACGATACCTGTTCCTTTTTGAGACTTTTACTAAAAATACTAAAATTGCTGGATGACAACCCTAGGAATCTGCTGAAACAAGGCAGCAGTTCCTTCCATCCAACCAACCACTTCATCCCTGGGGGCTGCCTCAGGAGGGTGACAGAAAGGAAGCTGTAAATTCACTCGTTTCCCAGCTCGGGAAGTGAAGGAGCCGATGGAAATCGACACCGCAGCGCTCGCTGGTGGTTCCGATTAAACCGATTCCACGCGTTTCAGGTTCCCCAGGGTAATTCCCCGGAGCTGGTTTTGAATCCAGCCAGTGTGAGGGACTCTGGCTTTTACATCTGCCGAGTGAACAGCGACTTTTCTTTCGTCTTCAGCCGGTGGGCGCGCCTCGAGGTGTGGGAGCTGCAGGGCACCCCTCCCGGTGAGTGGCACGACCGCTGCCTTGTGAAAGTTTGTCCTCCCTCTTCCTAGAGGGACTCTCTTGCCGTGCTTGGGTTGTCTCACCTTCCTTTTCCTTTTGTTTTTTCCCTTCCTTTCTGTTCCCTGAAGGGAGCTGGGCGGGGTTGGCTGGGAACAAACTGGCCATCTGCGTTCAGCCTCGGCCGCAAAACCTGCCGGCGGGGCAGGCTTTGGTGTTGGAATGTGGAGCTGTTGGGAAGCCCATCCCTCGCTACCGGTGGTTCAGGGACGGATTGCCCTTGGCAAACGGGAGCGGGAGTGTCTACAGGGTGAGTTGCCAGCCTTGGGGGGGCTTCCCACAGGAAGCAGAAAAGAATCCCTTGAGAACCTCCGGCAGAAGCTCCGAGGGCTTCTTTAATCTTCACTTAAATGCAAGGCTCGAAAGGTGAATTCCCCCGGGCTCTGTGGGCATGACTGGAGCGATTCTTGCGCAGGTGACTGCCGTGGGTGTGGAGCACCAAGGGACCTACTGGTGTCACGTGTTCAATGAGCGCGAGGAGGAAGACAGCCAGAGGGTGGAAGTGATTGTAGGTGAGGAGTCCTTCTGTTTGAGGCAGGACAGCTCCTTCATCCCTTGGTGTACTAAGCCTTCTATATTTTCGGTTTATCTGGTGGTTAAAAAAAATCCTGTGCCTGCTTCCAGCAGATGGAATTTAAGGCTTTGGGGGTTTTTGGGGTAACCAGCACAGAGAGGGCTCTGGTTTTTTTGGCATTGCCGTGATGTCTGTGGCCTGTCATCAGACTGCAAGCTGATTTGTGCTTTTGGACAGCTAAAAATCCAGTTAACCCTTGCTGGTGATGGGAAGAGCGTGGCACAGGACAGGGTCAGTGCAATTTTACTGCTGTAAATTGAGCCAGATGGCAGAGCAGCTTGGCAGCGACCTGTGTGCTGACTCTGATCGCTGAGAGTCTTCCTATTTTCCTCTCCCCTCCTAAAAGCACAAGGAAGGAACGCTGTGGCAGTGGAGTGCACAGAAGGTAAAGTAACCATTTTTTGATTGGCCTTTGCTTACCGTTGAAATGACGATTTGACCCGTGTGTTTCTTTGCAGATGATCTCAGCGACCTTCAGGAATCAGGTCAGTGATGAGTCTGGACAAACCTTGGGTTTAGTTTGGCCTCTCCCTGCACCCTCAGTTTTAGTCCCTTGCCGTTTCTCAGCTGAGGAGGTGTTGGATAAAGCCGCGTCTCTCCAGACCACGCAGTTTCATGTTCTGCTCTGACTGCAATCACTGACTCTTTCCATCTCTGTCAACAGAGCCACAAGAACTGTCCAGTCCCAGACCTGTCGGTGAGTGGATTTGCAGCTGGAATCCTGCAGTATTTCCCACCCAGGAAACAGAGTTTCGCTGCAGGGAGGGACACCTGGGGTTGCTTGTGCAGTCCTTTACGACGCCCGCTTGCCCTTTCCAGGGTAAACTGCGCCGAGGGCACCGGTATTTTTAGTGACTCTGAGAATCATCTGCGGCTTCTCACCTCTTATCAATTTACTGCTTCGAGTTCCTCCCCTGGGCCGTAGCCAGGGTGTTGGAACACTGGGAGACAGTGGGGTTGGGATGGTGGGAGAGAAAGGCTTGGCATCCTGTCTGCCCAGGGAGCGCTGTGCCTGTGCCCGTGGGGGTGGGTGCTGGGAAATGCCATCAGAACTTGTGCCTGGATGCTCTTACTCAGGGAATATAGAATATATAGAATATATAAACGTGGTTTTTTTGTTCTCCCCGTGTCTCGGCAGCCACAGACAAGGTGGCTCTGCTGATAGGGAACATGAGCTACTGGCATCACCCCCAGCTCCAGGCCCCCATGGTGGATGTTTATGAACTCACCAGTTTGCTGCGGCAGATGGATTTCAAAGTGGTGTCTCTGCTGGATCTCACCGAGGCCGAGATGAGGAACGCGGTGGAGGAGTTTTTGCTGCTCCTGGACAAAGGGGTTTATGGTAAGAACACACGAAATCGGTATAGAAGATAAACAGAGCAGTTTTCCAGTGGCGTTTGGCAAGAACTGCTTCAATTTACGTGGTCCCTTCATTCTCCCTGCCTAGTGGCTGTCAGTGGCTTCGAGCCAGTGAGAGGCGCTGTCAGTGCCCAAATAGGTAAGGATTTATTGCCCCTCTAGTTGGGCATGGCTTCAAATAGCAGAGAGGCACGCTGGCTGGTGCTGCCTGGGCCCTGCCACACCCAATTCCTGGTGCCTGCTGAGTTGTGTCATCCTGGCTCAGTGCCAGGAAAGTGGCATTTCAGAGGCTGCTCCTGGAGCAGTAAACAAAGTGAGAGAGAGGGGGGGGTGCTGATACCACTGAAATGCTGACATCTCTGAGGAACCTGAGCCCGAGGCTCTGCTGGGAGCCTGC